CTCTCTCTTGGAAAATTTTATTATCAGTTGTTCTTAGGTGCGCCATTATACCTCCCGTTACCTTAAATACTGCCGGGACCAACGGAACCATCGGTTTTCTAATATTCATTCTGCAGGATATGATCTAACCTCACTTGTACAGTTGCCATTATTATTTTCTCGAACTGCGATCTATTATTATAAGATCGGGCAGACATATTTACGTAATAGGTCGTAACTAGGTCGTAACTTATTTAAAAAATAATTTTTACGACCTTATTACGTAAATATGTCTGAACCTCTAATCACGGCTAATATTAGAACTATTGTCATAGCATTAACCGTAATTAATACTTTTTTTGTTAAACAAATGAGCTTGAAGATTAGACAGTGGAATTTTTAGGTTGATCACGTTAGAACAGTTGATGGATTAGTACGTACGTACGTACGTACGTACAGGGCTTAAACTACTATAGTAATTTGCCGTCTTGCATCTTATTGTTTAAAATGTTCTTTATGATGCAACAAGTAAATATTTAATTCATAGATCAAAAACAATACTTTTGAATGGCCAGCAAATTAATATCTGATATATGGCGTACGTGTCAGTTTAACCGCGTGACAACTTCACGTAATGAAATGTTCAATCAGGTGATTTACAAACTTGGATTCTCATTGAGATTTTTTTTTTGCCGAAGCCGTTGTACATGACATAAAAAGTAGAAAATTATTTCTATTTATATAATTTTTCTCATTATCGTTATGCTTTTTTTTTTGTTTTTTTTTTGAATCTAGCACAAACAATACGGTAATTTGTTTCCGAAGTTTACAAAATTCTAAAATTGATAAGAAATCTTTTACTTACTGTAATAGGCTGGCTTCAATTCGTTGGGTATCATATGACAATTGAATTGATAAATTTTTTGCGCAGCAATCACGAAAATCATTCATGGGAAGAAATTCATCTGATTGGTTAACTTTTATATATCTACCCGTGATTTCTCGTGATTATCAACCAATCAAATTACATAATTTTTCAAAAAAATTTGTCGTTCCCGTAACACGAGAGAAAACAACGACTCGGAAAATATCCACAAGTAAAACGATTACAAGAGAATGAATACCTACAAAGGCAACAAGTTAACTATTATGCCATTCTTGGCATAAGGAAACGAATAAAATTACCAAAAGAGGAATAATTAACATTCGACCATTTGAAGATTGTTATGGAATAAAATAGAAAAATGTAGAATACATAATATGGAATAAAATAGAAAAATATGGAAAATCTAAAAATCAATAAATATACGAGCTAAATCTCATCCCCCCAAAAAAGCAATTTGATCAAACAAATGTCTTCCCGAGGTTCTAACAATAACCCATCTAACGGCGCATCTGACTCATATTCTACTGGGACTAATTCCCAAGGAAATCAGTGGTGCCACCGCGGCCCTTCTGAAGCAAATGGTGGCAGTTACTACTACGCAAATCAGGACTCCTCATACTATTACCAAAACAGCGATGGATCAACTTATTATAATAATGGTCGCGGATATGCGGTATATATGTTGTGCCTCAGACTAACGCTTGCCTCAGATCACAGCTGACGTACCTCAGATGCAGATCGTCAGATGAGGTACGTAACCTATAGATTATTATCTAAGCTGCAATCTAACGAAAATAAGAGTAAAATAAAAGACCTTTTACTTGAATTCTTTTGATTCTTGGATTCTTGGATTTCTTCGGCGTTTTTCTTGCTGGTAGCATTTTTTAAATCACTTTGGCGTCTTTTTTAACTCCAGTAGCATTCTATATTTTTGAATCACTTTGACGTTGTCTTAC